GTCCCACCGGTCCTGCGGCTGGGCGGCGGGGCACCCTGCGAGGGGCCCAGGTACGCGTCCTGGGGGTTGGGATTCATCACGCTCGTGTGAAGTGCAGAGTCAGAATTTGTTCTAATCGCAAAAAGAGAAGGAGTCGGTCAGCCACGTCCCAGGATGTGGCTCATGCATCCTGGGGAGCCGTCAGCACACGCTGCAGCGAGGACGCAGCCCCGTCCCCAGTTCACAGCCTCCTGCTGCAGTGCAGCTTTGCAACAGCCGGGGGAAGCCGCTCACGGTCAGGACAGGACGAGCCCTGGGATGGTGGGTGAGAGCATGGCCAGAAGAGCCCGGAGCTGCAGGCAGGGCTTGGGGACTGAGCTTGGCATAGGCCAGACTCCAGCTGGGTGTTCACAAAAGGGAAGAGCAGGGGGAGGAAGGGAAGGAGAGCACGGAGGAGCGGGGGGTTCTACTAGAGGAACAACCGTCTCTTTCAAGGCCCTCTGAAACTACTTCACATCCAACACTTGCAGCGCCCAGGGCCTAGGACAAGTCTGTACAGTGCTGGGAGATGCCGAGAGGCAGATGCCAAGTCACTACACGGGGATCTGGGCTCTGAACCCCATCCCTTTCTGCCAACCCCCCCTTCCCACATGATGATGCTCTAAGTACCCGGCGTGGCATCCTGGTCCAGCGCACATTTCCAGATACAGTGGGGTTTGCTCCAGCCCCGAGACACTGCTGGACCCATCTCCTCCGAGGGAAGGCCGCTGCGTACCCATATGCATGGGGCGGCTCTGCTCGCTGCAGCTCGAGGGCCCGAGCCCTCACCTCCTCCTGGCCCGGGGCCTGCAGGGAGGACGGGCTCCTCCGGGACCCTTTTGTTCCCCGGGGCCCTGGAGGGGCTGGGGGCAGAGGGCCCTGGGATATTACATCCATTGTGTTCCCAATTAGTTGGTCTGAAGTGTAAGAGTGCAGGGAGGGGCTGGGAAAAGGCTGCTCGAGCTAATGACGCGTCCTGGGACGGCACAAGGGGGATATTGTTCAGCTTCGGCACAGCTGAGGCAGCTCGGAGGCAGGAAGCTCCCCCCGCCGCCCATGGGAGACAGCCCCCTCCAGCGCGGGGCCCAGCCTGGGAGCTGGCGAACGCTTGCGGGATGCACGGAGCAGCGAGGACCCCAGGGCCAGCGCTGAGCCCTGGCAAGCCCCACAGGGTGCCAGCACTGCTGAGCCCCGCGCAGGACCAATCACAAGGGGATGGGATGGGAGCTGCTCTGAGTGCCCCCCACGCCGGGCACCCCAGACAGGGCCAGCAGGCACAGCAGCATCGCCGTCTCCATACCACGCTGGCTCTGAGCATGCACTTGCCCTGCCGAAACCCCACTGTGCTCTGCAAAGAGCAGTCCCCAGCCCAGACGATGGCCTGAGCCAGGGCTCAAGCCCTGCCCAGCGCTCATAACCAGACGGGAGCTGGCCCAGGGGTCCTAGCCACAATGGCCCAGGCACACTGGCCGGGTGAGGCAGGGGAGCACCCAGGACAGCCTCCTCCCTGCACCCAAACCCTCCCATGGCCAAGGGTTCAGACCCCACCGAGAACCTGCTGCTCTTTCCACCTTGCTGGGGATCAGGCCACATCCCTGGGAGCCACAGGGCTGCACTGACTCCCCTCCACGAGGCTGGCTCCGCTCCGTGCAAGGCTTGACGGCAGGGGTGAAACCAAACAACCACCGCAGGAATCAAGAGCAC